TACCTCTTAAAAGTTGGATTCAGGGAGATAGTGTGTAGTGTAGAATCTGGTCTAATTATTCTAAACATGCATGTCGTTGCCTCACTCTTCAAACACAAAATGAGTTATTCAATGAGCCATTAAGTTAAAAATATTCAAGAAAAAATAAACATAAGATTCCATTTCATATGAAAAAACATTTTAAGAAGAAACTCAGCTAAACCAAATGCAAATTTTATACAGCTATTTTGTTTTCGCACCCATTTGGATAAGGTATAATCCCAAACGCATTTAGTTGATACAGTATGTTCTAACCAGAAATCAAATTTCACATATATTTAGACATTCGCACATATTTCAAATGATATGTCATGTTCTCTAGCAACACAGTTATAGAGTATGGGCTAATACCTGAATAAGTCCACTTTCACATGGAACTGGTGATGTTCAATATTTCTACCAATGATTTTGATGAGGGACTTGAGGCTTAGCATAGTTTTCACATGGCACAAAACTGAGAGGAATGACTAACTCTATGTAGAGAAATGTAGAGGACAGAGGAAATTGAGGGACAAGAAGAAAAGCTACTACTAAGATAATGGCTAGATGAAGAAACCAGAGTCTGACACAGAACTGATTGTACAGGTATTGGATGTGATTCTGCCTAGCTTCACCTGCTGCTTCCTGTCTGTTAGGAAGCTTACGATCCACTTATAAGTGTGTTCAGGTACCGCTAGCTGGTTTAGTTTAGTTAGAAGAATGTCTGGAATGATGGTATTGAATGCTGAACTGAAGTCTACAAAGAGGACTCTTGCATAGGTATTTGGAGATTCAAGGTGTTGTAGGATATAATGCAGAGCCATGTTAACAGCATCTGTCGATCTATTTGCTCGGTATGCAAACTGCATGGGATCTAACAGCGGATCCGTGATGGTTTGAGCAGCTCAGAATCACACTAACTGCAGCAAAAATCACAATTTTATAAAGCTGAAGTTCCCACCTAGTTTCTGAAGGAAATACTTTGTATCACACAAACCATCTCACCAGAAGAGACTACAAGGCTTCATGACACCACAAACCTCTTCCCCACTGCCCTCGCCAGCTGTAGTAGGCTTGTAGTAGACCACTTTGGTCTAGTGGTTAAGGGACCAGAGTAGAAAGCAGGAGATCATGAGTCCAAGTCTCCCATCTTAGCCATCAAAGCCAACTGGGTAACCTTGGGCCAACAGCACTCTTTCAGCCCAACTCACCTCACAGAATTATTGTTGTGAGGAAAATATGAGGAGGAAGGTACTTGAATTATTTGTAAAAAATAGCAAAGGAGGAATACAAATAACAATTTGTTCCAGCCTATTAATGCTTGAGATATGTGCTCTGTGTATGAACTGTGGTTTACTTATTTCTTAATTAATTAGTTGTTAATTGAGAGTTTCACTATTAGTTCAGAATCTCTTCTCAGAGGACTAGACAAAACAAGCTTGTTAACTGGGTTTAGGTTTTCCCACATGACTCATTGGGTAGAAGTTAGCTAAACTTTCTGCATGACTGGATCTGTTTGGATTTAATTTAATCTCCTTTTTCATGTTTCCCTAACATATTCCTTCTCCCACGCTAACCCACTTAAGTGTGATTTGGGAATAGAGCCATGCGCACTCAGAACTCTCCTGCTTATACATCCCAAATCACCTGCACACTTCTATAAACATAATAAAATTTCAATTTCAAAGATACTTATTTCCTAGACATGGAATGCCACAGCCAAAAATTAGATTGTGCTTCATCTATAAACAATAAGTGGTAGTGGTTTTTTTATTTTTACCCTCTCCAGCAGTAGAATTTTCTCATGGTCTCTCCTGAAGCACTAGCCTGCTATGATCCTGCTTAAATTCATTATCAGCTAAGGCCAAATAAATATAGTTCCTGAATCTTATCAGAACCTTTGCCTGCACTGCATCCTACAGCATTGCTGCAAAAGAATGCAATCTTTTACAAAGCTACGAATAGCAAGTTGGACGAGCTCTTGAGCAACCCCTGTTTGATCATTCCCAGGCTATTTAAATTTTATCACATGCCTGAATCAAACAGGTTGCAAAACAGTGACTGGTTTGTCAAGGTGGCACCAAAACCAGTGTTATCACTGGTGTGACAACAATATTAGAGGGAGAGCAGCTCCATAACCATTTCTCACCGTTCAGAATAACACCATATGTATTTACACATAAATATAATGGCCTCCAAAGCTAACAATAATTAAAAATAGGAGATTGCACACAGTTGAATAAGAGACCTTTAAAACACAGGGGGGAAAATAGAAATAACTATAGCAGGGGTGTCAAACTCTCGGCCCACAGGCCAGATACATCACATGCTGACCACGCCCACCCCAGGTCAGCAAAGAGGGGAAAGTCATGATACATCATGTGACGATGTGACACCATGAGTTTGACACCACTGAACTACAGTGCTCAAAGTCACATGATGCAGAAAGTGGTAATATCCTAGCTATGCTTTTATTTTTGTGTATTTTACATTTCTTATCTTTTAAAATTGTTTCTATTCCACCCTTCTTGTGTTGGTCTGTGACCATAATAAATATGTGATTGATTTAATATGGAAACTAGCTGTTAAAAAAGTTGTCAGGGCAACAATAGTTGTAAAGTGCCACAATTAGAACATCACTAGTTACAACAGTTTATTTAGTGACCATTTGAAGTTACAATGGCAGTGAAAAAAGTGACTTATTACCTTTTTCACACATACGACCATTGCAACATCCCCTTTTGCAACCTTCTGACAAAGTCAACTGGAAAACCAGATCCATTTAACAACCAGGTTGCTAACTTAATTGCAGTGATTCACTTAAAAACTGTGGCAAGAAAGGTGGATTACCTGTATAAGAAAGGTCCTATCTTTTGCTCTACTAAAACAACAGCCGGTCCAACTGTTAAACTCAAGAGTCAAGCTAAATGAAAAGGGAGAGATATTTTCTTGTATGCCAAGTTAAAAAAAATATCTTGGGCTGCTTTTATATGGGACTTAAACATCTGGCAGTAGATTTTTTTTTAAGTCAATCTTCCTAAACTTGTTCTCCTCACATTCACCAGACTTCCACTCCTTTTATCTCCCAGACAGCACAACCATAGGTCTTTTTCAAACCTTTCTATTTTAGTTTTCAGAAGTCTTAGTAATTGCCACGCAACTGAGGGAATTCTGGAGCTGAAGTTCATATATCTGGAAGTTGTTCAATTTGAGGAAGGCTGACACAAATTATAGTGATTCAATCTAGTTCAATACATCTGGGAGCACCCGGTTGTGAAGACTGTGTTATGAAGTTTCCCTGCCCCTTTTTGCATGAAAAAAATGAAAAATATCTTTAGTGCATCCTTCTAAGCATTGCAGTTTCACATTAAAAGGTTCCATGAGCAGATGTCTATTTGACTCAGACACTTTAACTTAGGTGTGTTGCTGACTCATTGATAAACCACACATATATTGATTCCTCTGTGTGTGTATGTGAAACCAGCAGATGTGGTTAGTTTGTGCTGTCACACAAACCCAGCACTTAAGCAATAATTAAGTAAACTGTGGCTCAATTACTTAAGTGCTGGGTTTGCGTGACAGCACAAAATCTGAAGCTTGGATAAAACGCATAAAGGGGAAGGGTGAGAAATGGCACTGCACACACACTTATTCCCAAAAGAGTTTTGCATGTGTGAGAATAAGGTCTTTGTGCTTGGGGGGGGGGGGGGGAACCAAGAGCGTGAGGAAGAATTGTGAGCATGGAGCTGATGTTCATTAAAAATGATTGGTGGGGTGTGGGTGGAATGACATTTCTTATCAAAAACGTATGCTTCTCTGGCATCTGCTGGCTGGGGAAATCAGGCTCCACCGTTTAGCATCACCCCCGGGCGTTGTCCTTCAAACAAGAAGTAGCAACCGGAGAAGCCCGCTGAGAGGATTCTCACACTTGAGGCAGGAACTCGGCGGTCCTTTCAGAAAGGGAGGGAAACCTGGTAACCGCAACATAAGTTGCGCTTCGCGAGGAAAAAAAAAAAAAACGAGGCGGCGAAACACTGACCTTCGATCCAGAGATTTCTGACAACAAAGCCCACAGGCTCCCAGGAAAGTGGGGGGGAGGGGAGAAGGGGGGCAAAAAAGCGCTTCTTCGCCGACCACAATTTCCCGCGCTTCAGTGATGGGTTTCAAACCCTCCCCTCCTCCACTCACACCTATTCTTCCCCGGCTGCCTTACGAAGCGCACAAACCACCTTTTCCAAGGTAATCCGCAGGTCGCACTCTTGATCCGTTGCATCACCAAGCCGGTAACCAAGCCAAGCCGACGCGAAAGGGGCGGGGGCTATGTGAGAATCAGACTGCCTCGCTTGGCCCAAGCCACTTTCGGCCACCCTATCTTCCGTTTCTTGCCTGCGTTTTGCAGACGGCATCCTAAGACTGGAGCTTCCTCCCGGTTGTCAGTTAGGATTGCGGCAAAAAACAAACTTGTTTGTTTTGCAGGAGTAGCTGTTGTAGGATTCGAGCTGCTCGGAAGTTAAAACGCCGTCTGCAAAAAGCGATTCTTGGGCACATTTCTCTCAGCGAAAGCCCTACTTCCCCCCCCCCCTCAAAAAAAGGGGGGAGCGGACGCCGGGCGCCCTCGCAAGATCGCAACCCGGCGTTTGGTTGTTGTTTTTTCCCTTCATTCCCACGCTGCTCCAGGGGACTTACTCTGAAGTAGGTCTGCACCAGATGCCTCTTGAGGATTAAAGCAGACCTCGTGAGGAAGAGGCGCGTACTTAACACACAAACGCGGTCGGCAACGTGGAAAGAGCCGCGTGGCTTTTAGGAACCCGCTGCTCCTGCGGGTTTAATCTTTTTCCAACTCCCGCTGTCGCTTCCCCGAGGCATTGAGGACAAATTAGCCGCAGGAGCTAAATCGAGAATAGAAAGCCCAGCGCTTTAAGCTGGGAGAAAGGAGGCAGAGAGAAAGGGGAGGGGACGGGAGGGAGGGAAGAGAGACTCACCGCAATCTCTCCGGCGGCTGCTAGGTATCATCAGCGAGTTAGAAACTCCCGCCGGATTTCAAGCTCTCTTTGCTCGCGAAGTTTTCTCAGCGGCGTTTTCCCAACAAAACAAAACAAAACAAAACAAAACGGGTCCCTTGTTAATTTCCCCCCCGGTTTGTCCTTTCGAAAACGCGGGCTGGCCAATACCTGCGAAACCTTATTAGGAAATGTTTATCGGAGTTTTGAGCCCAAGCGAGAAGCCGGACTTTGAGCTAGGGCATGTGGTAAAGGCGGCCCGGGAAAGGTGGGTGGGGGGCGGTTTGAAGCAGGCAGCCGCCTCCGGAGCGGACCGCTTGCAGTTTTGACAACAAACGCTGGTGACCTGCGGCCAGCCAGAAGGGAAGAGTCAGCCTCCTCGAGGCGGGAACGGATGGGTTGGCTGCGCCGACAGGGGAGGGTGACCGGTGTGATGGCCTGGGGGACGGAGGAAGAGGGGGAAGGCAACAGCTACGGTCGCTGCGATAAACAATGATCCTCAATTCTACAACTGTCAGGGGGTCGCTTCAGACGTTGAAGATCTCGGAGTCTTTGGGGTCCCTGGGCTACCCAGGTTATGTTCCCAAGGTGACATAATTTTTCTGGAGGCAACTGGATTTTGTTTTTGTTTTTTCTTTGAAGACGTTTTACTTCTCATCCAAAAAGCTTCTTCGGCTCTGACTGGATAGTGGGGAATGGAAGATCTTTTCATTACCCACTATCCTGTCAGAGCTGAAGAAGCTTCTTAGATGAGAAGCAAAACGTCTTTAAGGAAAAAACGACGTCCAGAAAAAAGCACCTTGGGGACAACCATGACCTGGATGACTGAGAATTTCTACAGACTTTTAACCAGGTTATGCTTCACTCCCTTAACCCGCTGTTCCCACACTCACACAGCACCTTAAAACTTTGAAGCATGGGGTGTGGGGGAAGCAGATGCCCACTCTTGAGGAGGTGGCATCATCCCAAATGAGCTGTTTTTTCCCCCCAGGTGTGACTTCTGGCTGCCCAAATCTTGTCCTTTCCTGTTTTGATGTGTCCTTTCACTGGACTGGATGGGTGGGTTGTGTCTTCACAAACAGGTATTTTTTATTCAGGACAAACAGGTATTTTTTATTTAGATTTGGAAGGTGGCTTACAGAGTTAAGAAGACAAACACCTGAATAAAATTATCCATTGTGTTACAAAAGAACATAAGGGCTCAGCTTGTGTCAGCCCTTTGAGGTGGTGCAGATAAGAAATGCCAATCCTGAATACTAACACTTCATTAGAAGAATTATAGTAACACATTTTTCAAGTCTGAAAGTATCTCTCCCTCCCTTATTTTTATTCTCCTGAAAACTTGGGAAGGTCCCTCCCCTGACTCAGTTTTTGTTTATCAGACTGTTGTCTAGGCTGCAGCTCTTCCTCCTGTCTCTCAAAATCATTCCCACATAACATTAAAACACTAATCCAAACTTTCAGGCAAAGCTATGCTTTCAAAGTCTTTTGAAACGTTTGTAAGCGGGGAGGGGAACTGCATATCTCCGTGGGAGGGGGGATGCTGTTCCTGAGGTCAAACACTTTGAAAAAGAAGACATGCTTCTGGGGTCCCACTACTAAATGACATTAATTGACCCAGGAACACCTGCATTTTACTTGATCTTGCCAAGACCACTTGTGATCTTCCTCAAATAAATAGGGCATATGTCACAAAAAGCTCTATGGGTGATAACCAGCCCCTTGAATTGCAGTCAGAAGCCAAATAGCAACCAGTATAGTTCGCACAGAAGCGATAATATATAGGCATATTAAGTTGTGCCCATTGTTACCCATCCCACTGTTTTATACCAGCTGTAGCTTATGGGTGGTCTTCAAGTGCAGTTCATGCAGAGTGCATTGCAGTAGTCCAATCATGAGATGACTACTAGGACATGAGCAGAGGTTTTCACAGCATTCAGCAGGTTCTCACAGTTCTGGAGAACCGGTATGGAAATTTTGAGTAGTTCAGAGAACCAGCAAATACCACCTCTGACTGGAGATTTTACAGTATCCTTCCCCTGTCATGCTTACCAGCCACGCCCACAGAACCGGTAGTAAAAAAAATTGAATCCCACCACTGGACATGAGTGATTCTCCAAAGGGCCTCTAGGTTGAGGGAAGGGTGCAACTGGTACACAAGATACAAAGGCCTTCCTGGCCACAGCTGTCACCTCTTCAAGCTGTAGTTATGAGACTGGGATGAATCCCCCTCACACCCATCAAGTTGTGTACTAGTCTCAGATGGGAAAGCCATCTAAATCCAAAGGAGCAAAAATGCTAGATCCAGAAGGACCAAAATAAACACAACCAGAGGTGATATTCAGCAGGTTCTGACCAGTTCTGGAGAACCAGTAGAGGAAATTTTGAGTAGTTCGGAGAACCGGAAAGTATCACCTCTGACTGGAGATTTTACAGTATCCTTCCCCTGCCACGCCCACCAAGCCACGCCCACAGAACCAGTAGTAAAAAAAAATTGAATCCCACCACTGGACACACCCACTTGGCCTATTCCTTATCCAGACCCAAACAGCCTCTAGACACTGGGTCAGGACATCAACAGCAGTTCCTGGATGATCCGAATTAATTGGTATCATTGGAATGGTGATAACACTGGACCCTAAACCAACAGATGACCTCGCACATGTAGATTCCATGTAGATGTTAAACAGGAGGGGCAAAAACTTTAAGCTGTGAAGCAATGGACAGAACTTTCTCCCATACTTCCATCAACATTAATTGGAACTGACCATAGAGAAAGGAGAACCACCTCCACCACAATACAGTGCCTCCCAGTCCCAAACCCTGCGGTTGGTCCGGAAGGTTGACAATATCAGAAGCCAATGAGAGATGAAGTAGCACAAGAATGGACACACTATCCCCCATCCCAGCTTTGCCAAAAGCCACCAACAGAGGTTATGATTTTAAAGAAAGCTATTCATTTCATTTCTGGAGTGATAATTGTGGATTTATTTCTATATTTCAGAATAAAATTGGATAGGAAAAGGAAGGTGTCACCAAGTGTTTTTTTACATTCCATCAAAAGCATCTACCCACAAAACAGTGGGAAGTGCAGGCTATTTTTACATTGTCTTTCCTCCATTTTCCCCCAGATTGCAAGGGAATGACATCAGTAGACAATACAGCTAAGGACAAATACTGAAAACCTTAAAACACAGATATTGTAGCATGTACTAATGGAATCTTCTTACTAGTAGTATAACTTCTTTTAATAGAGTTTACATATCAGTCATCTTTAATGTAAGCTCATGCAAACAGTCAACTCAGGAAAGGGTAATCCATCCTTTAATAAAGTAATGTTTATGTTCACATGATTTACTAGGCCTATATTTAAACAAACTATTATCTTGGCTTGTGCGACCTTTTCTGAACCATAAACTAACCAGATGGACTTGATTTCCAAAGCATGTTAGACTAAAATATGATTAGTTGATTTGTGTTCTCTATGAATTGAGAAAATCAAACTTCTTGTTTGTTACAGATATCTGCACATAATGGCCTTGATACCTCTATGCAATCTGAAACTCACAGAGAGAATCTTGAACCTTTGAAGTGACTGAATCCTTAAGAAAGAAAAAACAAATACATTTGTTATAAAAAATACATTTGAGTTTTAAAATACATGTGTTGTGTCTCCTGTCTGCTTTCTCTCCTCTATTGACAACTGCAGAAATAATGTGGAATGTTATATGTAACACCAGTCTTTCTATTGCCCCCTCAAGAGGATGTGGGAATGGAACATTCTCTGGTTGTGTTACCAAAACACATTAAGTCATCTATTAGTCACATTTTAAGTCTAATATGCTGTTAGACTGGAAGTGTCTTTAGCATGGATTTTAAATCTAAACAAAATACATGCTCTTTTTTTGTTTTCCTTGTTAAAAACAATGGCAGTGAATCTTCCTGTTCTTTCATTGTAATTTGATGTTGAAATTCACTGATGCAATATCAAGGAACCTTATGAAAGTTTGATCTTCTCCTTATTAGAAAATATCCATCATACTTATCTTTTAACTGGATGGGAGGCAATCAGAAATTTTCACTAGGAAATTTTTAAAAATACCAAGAAGGCAATAGTAAACCAATTTCATATTCTTGTCTAGAATGCAATACTGTCTTTCCCCCTTTTTTAAAGCAGCGAGATATTTCTATCAAATAGGTGTCCCCCAAATTTGAAGGGCATTAACCTTAGTGCACCGCAATGCGCTTTCCGCAGCAGTTTTGAGGGCTGATACAAAAAAAAAAAACCAACAACAACCATATAAACTGAAGTATGCCCCAGAGGACAAGAGGCCATTCAGATTAAAGTTCACATCCTATTATACCGCATCTTCTATAAGGACTCATGGACTCGAATATATGACATGTTACCTAATAAAATATATGGGGAATACTGATCTCTTCTACATTCAACTACTGTTATCGGATCAGTAAAAAGTAGTTTCTCTGAATGTGACCAGATTCTGTTATGGTGTATGCAAAATTAGACTGTAATTGCCTGATGCTAATCCATCACCAATTTAATATATTATTTAAATGCCTTTTTTTTTTTTTTGCAGTCATCTGTCTGACTGATATTCTTCACTACCACCACAAAAAAGCTCATAAAATTGGATGTAGTCACATGGTGACATATGTTACAACTGTAACTTCAAGCTCAGTTATGGTTGTAAATTGTATGCCAATATTACCTATTTGATACAGATCAACCTAAATTGTAGAAATAACTCCAAAGGCTTCATTTTAAAGTTGAAGAATCTTTATTCATCATCATCTTTGATCTTAGACAACAAAAAAATGCAGTTCTTGTCTTTCCTCTCTCTCTCCCTTCCTATCTTCCTCCTCCCTCAAGTGCTGCTATTCACAGGATTGAGTGTTTTTCCAGTGAGACCGGTCTATCGGGGCAACCTGGTTTACCCAAACATGGGTCGGAGCACACTGCTTCCGCTTTTGCCTTTCAGGCCCAATCCAGGAGCCTTCGCAGGCAGTCGCTTCTGCAACAAACTATTTTGTGTTACATTTAAATTTGCGGAGAAATAAATAAAAGGAGACTAGTATAGCTATTTCAAGCTGTTTAGCTC